ATAATTTGAAAAATACATAGTATAATTGATAAACATAAAACTGTTTCTATGTTTATTCATGCATTCATTTTATTCTTTAAAAAATAATTGGAGAACGATCCAAGATGGCCGATTGCTAACATCCCGGGATTGCAGCTCTCAGGGAAGGCGCGGAGAACTAGAGGACGCCACACTTTCAGACAAAGTCTGGTGGCTCACGGAGCAGAAGATCCCCCAGTGGTGGAAACACAAGAGTCAGCAGCGCGACTCTCGTGGTCGGCTCAGCGGTTCCGCTGGCACCTTGGCGCGGCAGCGCTCGGCGCAGAGTAAACGGACCGATTCCCCTTCTGACCGAGGTTTGGAGCCCCGGGAAGGCAGATTCGCCTACTAAGGAAACAAGAAGGAAGCCCGACAGGAGAATCCTGGGCAGAAAAGCACCATCAGTTTTAACGCCGCTGCTCTGGCCCTGGGAACTAACAACCTGGACGTCCACTCAAGAGACCTAATCTGAAAGCTGGTAATTTCAAAGACGACAGGAGGATAAATTTACAATGACGGGAAGAAACCAGCGTAAAAAAGCTGAGAATACTCAAAGTCAGAAGACCTCTCCCTCTAAAGATGATCACAGTTCCACATCAACAATGGAACAAGGCTTGATGGAGAACGAGCGCCTCCTGATGACAGAATCACTCTTCAAGGAATGGATAATAACAAACTTCAGTGAGTTAAAAGACCATGTTGTAGCCCAATGTAAAGAAACTAGGAACTTTGAAAAAAGGTTTGATGAAATCCTATTGAGAATAGACAACTTAGAGAGGAGTATGAGTGAATTAATGGAACTGAAGAATACAATACAGGAACTCCGAGAAGTATGCACAGGTTTAAACACTCGAATTGTTCAAGCAGAAGAAGGGATATCAGAGGTCAAAGTCCAACTTAATGAAATAAAATGTGAAGAAAAGATTAGAGAAAAAAGGATAAAAAGGAATGAGCAAAGTCTTCAAGAAATGTGGGACTATGTGAAAAGACCAAATTTACGTTTGATAGGTGTACCTGAACGTGACGGAGAGAATGAATCCAAGCTGGAAAATACCCTTCAGGATATTATTCAGGAAAATTTTCCTAAACTAGCAAAGCAGGTCAACATTCAACCCCAGGTAATACAGAGAACACCACAAAGATATTCCTCAAGAAGAGCAACCCCAAGGCACATAATCGTTAGATTAACCAGGGTTGAAACGAAGGAGAGGATACTAAGGGCAGCCAGAGAGAAAGGTCAGGTTACCCACAAAGGGAAGCCTATCAGACTTACCGCAGATCTCTCGGCAGAAACTCTACAGGCTAGAAGAGAGTGGGGGCCAATATTCAACATCCTCAAAGAACAGAACCTTCGGCCCAGAATTTCATATCCAGCCAAACTAAGCTTCACAACTGAAGGAAAAATAAAATCTTTTATGAACAAGCACGAACTCAGAGATTTTATTACCACCAGGCCTGCTTTACAAGAGCTTCTGAAAGAGGCATTACACACAAAAAGAAACAACCAGTATTAGCCTTTCTAAAAATACACCAAAAAGTAAAGAGCACCAACATAAAGAAGAATTTACACCAACACATGGATAAAACAGCCAGTCAACATCAAATGGCAGTAACCCTAAATTTAAATTGACTAAATTCCCAATCAAAAGACATAGCCAAAACCCAACGGCATGTTACATCCAGACCTGTTTCACATGCAAGGATACACAAAGACTCAAAACAAAGGGATGGAGAAAGATTTACCAACTAAATGGAGAGCAAAAATAAATAATAAATAAATAAAAAGCAGGAGTTGCAATTCTTGTATCGGATAAAATAGATTTTAAAGCAACAAAGATATAGTGGTAAAAGGATCAATGCAACAACAAGAGCTAACGATCCTAACACCCAGATAGGAGACTTAGATTCAATGAGACAGAAAATTAATAAGGATATCAAGGACTCGAACTCAGATCCAGAACAAGTAAACTTAATAAATATTTATAGAGCTCTCCACTTCAAATACACAAAATATACATTCTTGTCAATACCACATCACACCTACCCATTAGTTTAAATGAAACATTGATTGGCCATTATTAATACCCAATTTTTTTCAAAATAAAGCAATATTTCCATTTATTCTCCCTCTTTCTCTTCCTCTTTCTTCCTCTCCTTTACTTATTTTTTTTTTCTTTCCTTCTCTCAAAAAAAAAAAAAGAAATCAACTTGTAAACCTCTAGATCTAGGTCGGCAATGTCTCTCATTGCTTGATTTCCTTTCTTCCCTTCCCTCCCTCCCTCCCTCCCCACTTCCTCCCTTCCTTCCTTCCTTCATCCCTTCCTTCCTCCCTACTGTCCTTCTTCCCTTCCTTCCTGCCTTCCTCCTCCCCCCCCAAAAAAAATAATAATTACTTAATGTCTATTAGATGATTGCATTTAATGGTGGACAACCAAGTTTGGTCCATTCTCTCATAGAGTCTGCAGTTTTATCTATTATAAAATGAACATATCTTGTATTACACAACTATCAGGCTATTTGATAAGAACTGACATAGGCTTAGAGCATGTGCAGGAAAAGAAAACCAATAGAGAAGAGAGAGAGCAATTGAAGAACAAAATAGTGGGCCAGTAAGAGCATACAGTTATTAATAAACTCATGGAAAGTAACAGCAGGAATCGACTACTAGTAGGAGGTACACAATTAAGGCTAAGATTGCTTAGTAAACACAGAGACCCATAAGAACAAACGGTTGGGATGACTATTGAGGGAAAAGTTATTTTTGGATGAGGAGCCGTTACATTTGCAAAGATATTTGTACCAAAAATACAATTTTTTTGAAATATAAAGTATGTTATCTCAATAAAGAAAAAAAACTCTGGTTATTTGATGGACCCATAATTGTGAATCTGTACCTAACCACAGAAAACTACCTGGGAGTGTAATTGCTAGTGGTTATGCTTTCAGAGCTAGATTTGACAGAAATGTTATTTTATTGATTTTGGAGTTTAAGACTGGAATGTAATCCTTACCATCATGCAGCTTCCATTCTGAAAAAAATAACATTTTAATGTAATTATGTATTTTAAATTTTATAATTAGTTGCCTATTTGCAAAGAGGACACAAGACACCTTTTCAAGACAACTACAGTGCTGAAAAAAGAATTAAAACAAGTAAGGCAAAGAAAGCCAAAGTAATATAAAGAGAGGAAATAGATACGTAGCTTAGTTTGTAAACAAAATGCTTGTCATGAAGTTCCTAATAAACTTACAAATAGAAATCTGACTTAAACTTACTAAGAACCAAAGCAAAAAAGGAAGCAGACTAGGTCACGGTATTCACTGTGTCAATAAATTAAAAAGTAACCAGTTGCTCAGGAAAACACACACACACACACACACACACACACACACACACACACCCTTGACATTAAAAAGAAATTAATGCTAAGGATTCTTTTCCAGAAGACATTTTATAACAGAAACGATGTCCATAACGAAGTTAAAGTAAAAAGTTTTATAGAGTTCTTCTATTTTCTTTGTTTGTTTTTTAATAACATCCTGAGCCAGTTAGTTTTATTTGCAACTTTTCCTTTTTCTGCTCCAGCCCATATTTCAGGCAGTGGATCCCTTCAGAATGAATTTCCCAGGCTGTAAGTCTCTTTGGCTGGTTTCAGCCAATAGGACAACTGCTAGGACACAGTTGTGGGGGGAAAAGACAAGCTGGGGCATTTCCCTCTCTCTGTCTTCAGTGGTGCCTGCAGCTGAGGTTATGTCCCCCTCTCTGCCCTTGTGTGCACAGACATTCCAACCTAGAGGGCTTCTCCCTCTAGTCTAGGTTTAGAAATGGCTCTGTTTTGTTACTCTCTGGGCTGCCTGAGTATTACCTGATTGGCTTATCAGTTCTGTTAATTGTTGGAAGATTTCTATAGTTTAAATGTCTTGTGCTTTAAATATTCAGGAAGTTTTTTTTTATCTTCATTGGATCCCAGCTGATACAATCATTCATTATAAGACAACAGCATATCCTTCAGCTGAATTCAATATAAACAATTTTACATTGAGAAGTGTCTTTAAAAGAGTTATTATCCACATATTAAATATCCAGGGATGCTTACGCAAAAGTGAATAGCAGATACAGAAGAGTGTAGGAAACACATTCCTGTCAGTCACTGAGGCCTAATCTTCATGAAGAGGATCAGAATCTACCAACACCAATACCCATGGAATCTGCATACATGAATTACGTGACACATCGTTCAGTGGACATGCTTTTCTGATAAAATTCCTAGAAATACACACCGGCCAACATCTTGGCTGTAACAAATCAGTGGAACCCAGAAAGAATATCCTGGAGAAGTAGTACCTCACTATTCTATCTACCTACAAACAAAATACATGATTCACCTAGGACTATTCTTTTTCTGCAAATATAGAAGCCATATGTGGAAGGTAATACATCATCTTCCATATCCAGTTCTTCACTAAATATGCAAAGTAGAAAACTTTTTACAAGTTAGCATGTATGCTAATAACATTTTCCAAGCTATCCACTAGTTACATGACATCAGTGAAGCCTTTGAAGACAGTTACTTCAGCTCATAAAGCAGGTTTATTTTATTCTGATGTCATTAATGTTTTTAATGATAGGGCTAATGTCCTAGTTTTTATTACCTGTATATCTGGCAATCTTCGCATCCCAATTTGGTCTAACTAGGCTCCTCAAGAGGAAGAAAATACAGTGGCTGGAGACTTCTAGTCTCCATAGAAGTTATAATTCTTACTGGTAATAAATAAAACAGCATCACAAATTTATACTGAAGTACCATAAATCCAAATATGTGCACCCTCCCCCTTGAAGTTTCTATTCTTGTTGTGCTGGAAATTATGTTTCTCAGCTTGCAAAACTGACTTAAACCATGGCAAAATCATCAGTTCAATACCCCGTGTGAAACATTTTTCCCAAGAAATGCATTCAAACAACATGTTTCTTCTTCACCTACCTGAAAGACTTCTTAATATCTTCTGCCTGGATTGTCTTGAGAATCTCTTGGTATAACTGATGATCAACCGTTCCTGAAGATGGAGAATCTGAAGGGCAATTTGTATGTATGTAATAACCTATCAAAATCCCAAAAATAAATACAATGATGGCTGTGCAAAGTATTTTTAAAAGGTGGCAAAAGTTGCAGCGATTGCTCTTTGGTGCAGATCGTGTATAATGGCTAATGTAGTCAGATTCTTCCTGAAGTCTCTGGAACCTTCCTTTGGGTGAAGTTGCTGGTTGAATGGAATCAAGATTGAGGTCTGTAGTCTCTGAATGCCCTAGGTTCTGATTCTCAGCACTGTCTAGCTGGAATTGGTCAAAACCAGGCTCCTCTAGTTCCTTCTCCATGTCCCACTCTAAGTCAAGGGCAGTGGCTTGAAGGTCATCATTGTCTAAGTACTGTGAGTGTCCTGGAGCTCTTTGATCTGCATTGACCTTCTGATAAGCCATCTTTCTCCCTGTGAAAATAATAAGAGAAATATATTTTAATAAAATAAGCACACAATTAAAAAAAAAAACTAAAAATTTGAAAACAAAACATTAAGTCATATTGGGTTTCCATAAAATTGTAATGATTATAATATAGGGAAATAAATTTTCCCAGTAGAAACTCACATTTTATTTAATTATTTAATCTTATAATTTTCTGTTGATGTTATTATAGGAAAGGGAGACAAAAGAAAAATGAAAGTAGAAGGTACTTAGTGGAAAAGTTATGAGAAAACAAAATCTATCACAAACACACATAGGTACACCAACCATTAATCTTTGAAGCTCAGGATAATAACAACAGTCACAAATGCACAATATCATTGAAGGACAATGCAATGTAGAAGGCAAAATTAAACCTTCACAGTTACAAAATAACTTCTAAAAATTAAAGACAAAAGTAATAAAGCTATGATTTGGTAAGTTAAAGAGAGAAAATAATAACAATCCTGGAATGATTACATTGTCAGAGCTAGTCTGACAATTCACAAATTCAGGATGTGGTCAGAATAACTAAATGAAATACAAATTCTGCAAGAAGCAAAATCTGTTTTGTTACAGAAGCTTAAGTTACCAAAAAGACTGCAAAACTTTAAGACCATGAGAGAGGACATAGATGTTCCAAGAAAGTAGTAACACAAATTGTCCTGGCTCAGTAAACTTTAAATAAAAGTCTGGGATGGCATCAATCCAAAGAGGGAAGCCTTTTGCCAGCCTAGGAGAGTTTGGTTTTATAACATTGCTACGGGAATGGCAGATGGAGCTTCCTCTCCCCTGCACAGCTTTGGATGACAGTTTGTTGTATCCTGCCGAGTGGTATCAGGAAAACTGGGCTAATTAACTGCAAGTGGTCTTAAGTCTGCATTCAGTAACCCACTGGTGTATTATGGCTGCAGATTAAGAGTATTTATACTTAATTTTTCTGTGTATTAGATTTGTCACCTCAGCTGGATCTTAGGTCCCTCACTATGTTCTATGATTTTTCAGTGTGTCCCACTGTGGTGGGGGAAAAACACAACTCAACTGATAATTGATTAGCTAATTGCCTTAGTAATAGTGGTTGACAAGTGAATTCCTATGAAAAAGATAAAACAAGGATTTCATGAAAGGGAGTGGCATTGTGTACAGAATTATGGCCATACATACCTCCAATTTTGGCTAGCTGAGGCCCATATAATTAAAATACCCTAAATTTTTAAGAAAGTTCAAATATAACTAGATATTAAATTTTATAAAATAAAAAAATATGTAATTCTAACTAAAATTTTCATATGCTACCTTATAATCTAGGAATAATTCTTACCCAGCATTGAAGCAATAAAAATGATTATCTAATGCATGTCAGGCACTGAGATAGGCAATGAAGACAGAAATAAATAGGACCCTATTATTCCCCAAACAGGGAACCATCAAATCAGAGAGACAATGCACCAACAAACAAAAATGTCAGATACAATATGCAAAGTGCCAGGGAAACTCAGGGGTGATTGATTCTAGCAGAAAACACAGAAAATGATTATTCAAAAAAAGTGACCCTAACTTGCTTTGCAAGAGATGAGGTTGTGAGAGTACCACACAAGAAGGGGAAAATTTACAAAAGCGAAGAATAAGAACGCTCCATTTGAAAAACCTAGAGTGGTATGCTATGGCTGAGGATACAGCACATGGGAAAAGATGCTGAGAAAAAAGCTAGGAAAAGGTGACACTGGGCAAAAAACTCAACCTCCCTACAACACAGGGTCTTCACATGTCAAATGGGCATAATAATAATATAAACTTCATAGTCTTGTCATTAGGATTCATTCAGATGTGAACCTAAAGCAGCTATTTGAGTAGTGCATGGGCTATACAGAAGAGACATTTCTAGTATTAGGGGAGATAGAACTGTCAAGGATTGGTGGAAAGTTCATAATTACATAATTCTGCAAGACATTGTGGAGATGGAGAGGAGGCTGTATAATATTCACACACACACACACACACACTATAGTGTTTGGTGTTTTTTATTAACATTTAGTCTATATGTAGAGATTAAAACATAAAAATCATCACATGATAAACTAAATGTTCTCATAGCTCTACATTCCTTTTCTTTTCCCTCCCTCCCTCCATTCCTTCTTGTTTAGCCTTGTTTTCAAAATGATTCAAGGAAGTATAGCATTTGAATTCTGTCTTCGGTCAAATCAAGACAAGCAGAGAAAGGAAGTAACATATGGAGTTTGTGATAAGTATTCGAATAGGTTAGGTAATGGCTGATTAACTTATAGAGAAAGAAACTGAATCTCACTGGGTTTAAAGAAAATGTCAAAAGAAAATACGAGAGGATACAAAAAAAATCTGAAGAAAGTAGAATAAGGAGTCTCTAAACACTTTAGAAAACAATTTATTTTAATGTACTTTGTAAACTGCAATTTCCTGGCTCTAGTCAATCTTTTTCCCTTTGGCCTAAACATCAATAAATTGCTGTTATCTTGACATGATATTATATTTACTTCTTTAACTGTTCAGCTTATGCATTATTGATTACTTTACTTGGAGAATTTTTCCATGCAGTTCTCTAGATTTTTTTCTCCCATTTTAATGAATCAGAATTTCTCTCTCTCCCTAAAGGCTTAAAAAAAATTGAATGGTAGAGCTTGGTTTATGTTCAAAAAAGACTTGGCACATGGGAGTTCATACAGAAATGTGAGCTCTCTAATTCTGACCTCTAATACAAACATTCGAAGTCACTTCTCTATAAATCATTTAAAAGCCAATTGCAATGGTGAGGCAGAGTTTTCATCTCTAGCCTGACAATAGGCATTCCATCACATGTACATCAGCAATTTAACGCTCTTCAAACATCAGACAGGGCCATCAAATAGAATGTAATGCAGATACAGATATTAACTCATCAGCATGATGGATATCTACCTGACACCCTTACTATCACTTTTGAATTCATTACACATTATTAAATTTTCACTAAATTCTCTCTTTCAGAGAGTCACATCTGGGATAAAGGTAGATGAAGTCACTTGATATAACAAAATCCAAAATATTTCAGGAAAATTACCAAAAAATGAGAATGTCATGACATATATGATAAAGCATTTTAATCACCAAGTTGGTAGAATCAATTATAAATGCCATATATTTCATATATCAAATACATGTATATATAGTATATATAAATGTATCATATATGTATATATATAATTAATATTTCTATAAAATTATTTTGCCTTAGAAATAGTATAGATATTTTGCAAAAATAAACATAGATATCTCTGCCCTAATATTGTTTCACTTAAAACATATATATGTTTTATATAATATATATTATATTATACATATATATGTATATATACATAATATAATATAATATATAATATAATTATATTATAATATAATATAATAACATATATATGTTTTATATAATATATATTATATAAAACATATATATGTTTTATATATATATGTATATATATATAATATGTATATACATATATATATAATTTTGCAGAAAATAAACTACCAAATAAAGGTAGAACTTTAGTAACATATTTAGTTTTGAGTTGCTATAAATTATTCTATGGTTCCCACCAAGTATGTAGCTGTCTTTAAAATACCTCTGCCCTGTGAGACAAAAACATAACACATTTATTTTTATCAAAGCATCAAATTCCCTAGTATGAAAATTTTATATTTAAAGATAAATCATCAGCAAAATCAGCCTGTCTTAAACATGATCATGTAATACTGTCATTCAATTTTTTTTATTACTGATGCACATGATTTGGTTAATTTTTATTGTCATGGCACTTTAAGATTACCCCATGTGAGTGATTTTTAAACAGTACATGTAGTAGATTTTATAATCTACCACATGAATAATTATCTAGAAGAGATATACTTTAGTATAGACAAGGTCATATAAACTTGTGACATTTCTTAAAATGGAAATATCAGTAACACTCTTACATGTTATATTGTGGCACATGGCCTGTTTTATCAAATGCAGTTGTTATGAAAAGTATATTTTCCATATTTTTGAAAGGTCTTATTCACTTAGGTGACATCTCTTTCCATCTAGGCCTATAACTAAAAGCTAGTTTTTTAAAATTTAACATACTAAAACCTTTACCTTCTATATACACTTATTTAAAATACCTCTATTATAAAATATGCTTTATTTTATTTTATTTTATTTTATTTTATTTTACACTCACTTATTTAAATCCTTCTATTATAAAAATAAAGTGCCTACAAGTTGAACTGAACGGTATTTTTCTGACCTATGACAGATTAATAATAATGAATATCCATCTATATTCAACATATGATAGTTTAAAATAAACTGACACTTCTGAATGCTATTTTTTTCACAACTACGAGCTTAAACCAAATAAATTATATAGAAATAAAAGATAAGCATGGTAACAGAATGAGAACTGCAAATGTAAAACATAATCTCTGGTTGCTGCGTATCTAGTCTAACACAGGGTCTGCCAAATATTTTAGATAACAAATACAGAGTAGACAAAATGATTTTTAAATGTTACATATTACTTATGCCATTTGGGAATATAATCACAGCAGTCATTCTTTCTTGTTTAGCAGTCATAATGGGAGAATTTATTATATTAATGTTCTGACCTTGTAAATCTCCAAATTAGTGGACTTCATGCTTAAATTTCCCATTTGTCGAACAGAAACAATAAAAGTATCAAATTTTTGAAGTTATTATGAGTAAATGAGATAAATAATTTAATGTGCTAAGACCATTGTCTAACACATTATAAATGATACACTGATAACAATTATAGTGATTCACTAATTTTTTTTCCAGAAATTCTAAGAGCTAAGAAAATAGAAATATTTGGAGCTTAGAACTTTAAGATACAGGGTTAATTAAATTAAACTATGACCTGAGACCTCAAGCTTTAATATCAAGAACCTGGAAATGTTGAGAAATAAAGCTGTGTAC